TAGCCAACATGGTAAAACCCCGTCTCTACTAAAAATACAAAAAATTAGCCAGGCATGGTGGTGCACATTGATGGTCCTGGCTACTCAGGAGGCTGAGGCATGAGAATCACCTGAACCTGGGAGGTGGAGGTTGCAGTGAGCCAAGATCACACCCCTGCACTCTAGCCTGGGAGACTGAGTGAGACTCTGTCACAAACAAAGAAACCAAAAACTTAAAAAGAATGATTACTTGTATTTGTTTTTTTTCCTCCTTTTTTTAAGAGACAAGGTCTTGCTGTCACCCAGGCTAGAGTCCAGCAGAGCTATCATAGCTCACTGCAGCCTCAAACTCCTGGCCTCAAGCAGTCCTCCCACCTCATCCCCGAGTAGCTGGGACTACAGGTGTGCACCACCACATCTAGATAACTTTATTTTCTGTAGCAACAGAGTCTCACTGAGTCTATATATATGCTTCTATGTATTTATATTGCTATGTTGCCCAGGCTGGTCTCAAACTCCTACCTGTAAGTAATCCTTCTGCCCCAGCCTCCTGAAGTGCTAAGATTACAAATGTGAGCCACCATGGCCAGCCTGTATTTGTTTCTTTTTAACAGCTTTATTGAGATGTGATTTACACAATTCACTGGTTTTTAATATATTCAGATTGTGTTAATTATCACTACTACCTAATTCCAGAACATCTCCATTACCCCACAAAGAAACTCTATACCCATTAACAGTCGCCTCTCATTCCCCTTCTTCACAGCTCCGGACAACCATTCATCTACTTTATATCTCTATGTATGTGCCTTTTCTGGACCTTTCAAATGAATGAAATCACATATTACAAGGTCTTTTGTGTCTGGCTTTTCACTTAGCATGTTTCCAAGGTGCATCCACATTTAAGTATATATCAGTATTTATTCTTTTTATAGAATAATATTCCATTGTGTAGATATACCAAATTTTATTTATCCATTCATCAGTTGTTGAACATTTAGGTTGTTTTCACTTTTTGGCTATTATAATGTTGTTATAAGCTTTTTTGTATACATTTTTGTGTATTTGGTTCTAGTTAGCCAAACTTTTAATCCATCTGGAATGTTTTGTGGCACAGGAATCTATCCCTTTTCCCTCCAAAAGTAATTGTCCAAGTTATTTCTCTTAATCCTTAATGTGCTATAATTTTACTACACAAAATTTAGTGTGAGTTTGTGTATGTATTTGTGTGTGTTTTAATCCCGATTGGCACTTATAAAGCCTTTCAACTTTAGACTCAGATCTTTCTTTTCAGTTCTAGAAAACACTTCTAATTTCTTCAGTTTCCCTTCCATTATCTCCTGGCATACCCAAGATATGGAGGTTACAACTTTAAAGTGAAGCAAGAAGTTATAAGAACTTGCCAAGTAATCTCAGTACAGAGTCCTACATTTTCATACATTACCTCAAATCTTTTTCAGTTGTCTTGCCTAACTGTAACTCAGTATTAATTTTTGCAGCAACTCACTACTGTCATTACAAAGCATTCCACTGGTTTTCAAGGCAGGAGTTTTCTTTATATTTCATCAGTTTATGTAATACTGAATAAAATAATGAAACTGCAATAAGTCAATTACCTGTAAGTATAATTGACTCTTAAACATATAAATCAACTGAAAGGAGTACAATGTGCAGTCATATTAAAGACAAGCCAGCATTCAGCACATCATAGAACTCAATAGTGGCTAATGTTGTAGAAGTCAGTTAAAAGAGCATCTACTGTACTCACTGCCCCATTAACCATTATTGAGGTTTAGTTCTGTTATTTGTTGAATTTGTCTATTTCATTGTATTGGCTTTTCTCAGATGATATTGATAGACTGTGAGCTCATCTCTACTTAGGTAACTTGCTGAGAACGGAGGGCAAAGAGTTATGATGGGCAGTAGCTGCCGCTCTGCCTTGAAGTATTTTCAGTAGGAATAAGGACCTTAAGAACCCCAGCAGCTGTTCTGAAAATGGATGTTCCTCACTCTTGCCAAGTGTTACAAGGTGGACGTGTGTGGAAGAGTATCCTGTCTCTTGTTCTAAGAATTTTGGCTCGACAACAGATTTGTTCTTTGTTGATATGCGGCACAGGCAGGGAGAAATTCCCCAACTACTTAGTCTTTACCATGGGTGTCCCCGTTCCTCTCCACTTCCACCATCTCCAGAAATATGGGCACTCAGTGTCACACCACTTCCCTGCACTAATCTTCCTTCTGCCCCTCTGGACCTTCCCTCTACTTTCTGCCCAGTGGGAGCCAATTCTGAGTTTCCAATCTACCAAAACTCTCTCTTCCTTGTTTGTGAGTATGAAGACACATGTGTTTTTAATATATTTTTCATAATTTCTATGGATTTGGTAGGAGGAAGAAGAGATTCCATACGCTTATCTCGTTGTCTTAAACCTAGAACTGCTATTGGTTTCTGATTGATATTCTTTTGTAAGTGAAGGAAGCCTCCTTTATTACTAGTTTTCTAAGAGATTTAAACATAACGAGAAACAATTTTACTAACAGGCTTTTCAGCACTTGCTAACATTATTTTTTTTCCTTTAGTCTATTAAAATAATGAATTATATTATCACTAAATGTGAATTCTGTAAGAATTCCTACTTCCTCAGGTCATGCTACCTGTTTTACTATGTGCATATTCAACTTATCAATTGTATTTGGAACTGTTACATCTATAAGGGTTAATTGGCATTTGTGGGTAAATGCTAATTTTTTTTAGGTTTACTTATCATGGACCTGCTAACCTCAGTAGGAAAATCTGTCTTTATTCTAGAACAGAAGAGGATAGACGAAAAAAAAATTTTTTTTTTTTAATTTGCTAAGACTCTGTACTTTGTGCCTTTTTGTGAGAAAGAATTTCTTATACTTAGTAGCTGGAAAAATAAAGTGCTTAGAAGTGTTTAAACTACCAAGAAATAACCCACCTAACTAGCGCCCAAAAGCTATTTGTAATAATTTCATGTATCTGTCCTGATATGTCCTATACAAATGCATATGCACACATATATACACATATTCATATATGTACCTTTTAAGAAAAAATGGTTTCATACCATTTTACAACTTGCTGTTTTCTTTCTTTTTTTTTTTGAGATGGAGTCTTGCTCTGTCACCTAGGCTGGAGTACAGTAGTGCAATCTAGGCTCACTGCAACCTCCACCTCCCAGGTTCAAGTGATTCTCCCTGCTTCAGCCTCCCAAGTAGTTGAGATTACAGGCGCGCACCACCAAGCCTGGCTAATTTTTGTATTTTTAGTAGAGATGGGATTTCACCATGTTGACCAGCCTGGTCTTGAACTCCTGACCTCAGGTGAGCCACCCGTCTTGGCCTCCCAAAGTGCTGGGATTATAGGCGTGAGCCACCACGCTCAGCCTGTTTTCACTTTACACAGACATCTTTCAGTATCAAAATACAGATCTATATTCTTTTTTTTTTTTGAAACAGAGTCTCACTCTGTTGCCCAGGCTGGAGTGCAGCGGCACGACCTTGGCTCACTACAACCTTTGCCGCCTGGGTTCAAGTCATTCTCCTGCCTCAGCCTCCCAAACAGCTGGGATTCCAGGTACATACCACTGCATCTGGCTAATTTTTGTAGTTTTAGTAAAGATGGGGTTTCACCATGTTGGCCAGGCGGGTCTTGAACTCCTGACCTCATGATCCACCCACCTTGGCCTCCCAAAGTGCTGGGATTACAGGCATAAGCCACCATGCCCAGACTAGATCTATATTCTTAAACAGCTGCATAGCAAACTGTTGCCTGATTATGCCGTAATTTATACTATCATATTGTCTTCCAAAAAAATATTTATACCTATTTACTTTATGGGACAGTTTTCACAAGAGAAGGCTTTTTAAAAAGCATGACTAAGAACTAGAACCACAAATTTAAAGATAGATAAGTTTTAGACAGGGCATGGTGGCTCACGCCTGTAATGCTAACACTGTGGGAGGCCAAAGTGGGAGGACTGCCTGAGCTCAGGAGTTTAAGACCAGCCTGGGCAACACAGTGAAACCCTGTCTCTACTAAAATACAAAATATTAGTTGGGTGTGGTGGTGTCTGCCTGTGGTGCCAGCTACTCGGGAGGTTGTGGAAGAATTTCTTGAACCCAGGAAGTGGAGGTTGCAGTGAGCCCAGATCCCACCACGGCACTCCAGCCTGGGCGACAGTGCAAGACTCCGTCTCCAAAAAAAAAAAAAAGTTTCGCTATATAAGAACTGAAATTTTCTATTAAGCAAAAATACCAAATGACTTTGGGGTACTGAAAGCTTTTGCCTTTTTTGAGGGACCATTCTTATGACATTTATAATTAGCAATTAATATAACAATTTTATGACTAGAATGACACTGAAGGTCATGTATTTCGTTCATTGCTATGTCCCTGGGAAACAGCACAGTGCCTAGTACATAGGAGCGTCTCCTATATTTCAAAAAAAAGTAGCCACGCATGGTGGCTCATACCTGTAATCCTAGCACTTTGGGAGGCTGAGACAGGTGGATCACGTGAGGTCAGGAGTTCAAGACCAGCCTGACCAACATGATGAAACCACATCTTTACTAAAATTATAAAAATCGGCCGTGTGGTGGCATGCACCTGTAGTCCCAGCTACACAGGAGGCTGAGGCAGGAGAATCCTTGAACCAGGAGGCGGAGGTTGCAGTGAGCTGAGATCCCACCACTAAACTTCAGCCTGGGTGACAGGGCGAGACTCTTTTTCAAAAAAAAAAAAAAAAAAAAAAAAAAAGAAATAATTTCGTCACACTATTAGCTTATGAAAAAAATGGAATCAATGCAAGTGTCTATGAGGATTAAAGATTAAATTATGGAACATCTACATAATGCAGCAATATAAAAGGCTTCAAGAAGACTATCTGCTTTAAAGAAAAATCCATGTGTGGGAGAAAAAAATAGAACTCTTATTGTAAGCAAGGATAATGGACAGCAGGTGTGAGCTTGGAGTTTGGCAGAGAATAAAGGAAAAGTGCATACCAGAAAGACAGACTGACAGCTGTTCATCATCCACCGGAGAGGCTTTTTGACTATTCTTCCCACCTCCTACTTGATTTTCTAGTTTGAGTCCACTGCACATCAGGGGAGCCTCCAGTGGACTTTTACAGTAAGGGTGGTCCAGCAACTCAGAACTAAGAATGTTCTGCTTGAGAGATCCATCCTCCTCCATCTGGTATGAGTTCTCCTTTTGAACAGCCTTTTGGGACACAGGCCCATCTACACTACTCACAGGTGTATCTGTTCCAGACACTGACAGTTTTACTCTGTCATCACTGACAGAACTTGTCCGATTTTCCTGACCCAGAGTCATAATATCTCTTTTGGTTTCTGAAATGAACATGGTACTAGAATGATGTTCTGGTAAGGGGATGTCATGAATCAGCTCTGTACACTCCCACTTAGGAGAAGAACAGGGTGACTGGTCCCAGGCGTGTGTGGCACTGCCATTCTGTTGGTCAGGGAATGCTTCGTCTAAACTAAGCTCCTTGCCCAAGAAAGGGCTTCCTTTAGTGTGGCCATCAGGCACATGAGAGTTTGTCCCCTTCACCACAGCATTGCTGTCCATATCTGGAAAGTACGGTTGATGCCGACAAGAAGGGTCTTTAGGTTCTGGGGAAGGAAATGGGCTGCAACTGCCACCCTCAATGTTCTCCCTAAGAGTCTCTTGGTGGTCCCCAGTGACCTTCTGCACCCAGCTTCGCTGGGCTTTTCTTAGCTTGCAAACTTTACTTTTGGTTCTGAAGTGCTGGGATCTGAGAATCCTGTACCGAAATCTAATCATGGATAATTTTTCATACATCATAAGAGGAGATAATTTTATTCTTCTATGTTGGTTAAGTTGGAACTTTTTTGGAATCAAGGGTCCCCCATTCCTGTGGCGCTCCGGCCCTTGGCAGCAGCCATAACAAAAGCACTTTCTCTTATGGTTGCTCAAAGTGACCACAATCGTGCCACTCTCACCTGGACTTTGGCTCTCTCCATTGAACTTCATGGGAAGGTCAGAAGCTTGTGGTTCTGTCCTAGGTCTGTGACCATTGGCCTGACCTAAAGCACTATTTGATGGAAAGTCAGCAACTGCCTTCAAGAGATTTTTCTCTCTGCAGTATTTATGGTCAGAATTCTTTGCTGATGACAGCAACTTCTCTGCTTGGAGTCTCAGGAGAGTTCTTGAAGAGGAAATGAAGTGTTTAGTGTCCTTTCTTTTCACTTTAGAGGACAAAGTACTAACATTTTGAGTAGCCACACTGAACTTGGTCTTAGCACAAAGGGGTTCATCCTTGATCCACGTTTTCTGGATTTGAAGGGCTTTCTTTCTACACTGGAAATGTCTCAAGTGTCTATTCCAAGTAATTGGCCTTCCCAGCTTAGCTTTCAGAATGCACAAGTGTTGGTGGAAATAAAACTTCTTAAAGCCTCCAAACCCAGTATTCCATTTCTCAGAAAAGGCTAAGTGGATTCCTTTCCTCCATAGAATTTTCCTCTGTTTTTTCATTTTTCTGATGCATAATGAGATCTGGATGCATCTGTAAAGAAGAGAAGGAGGTTATATTTCTATCTAAAAATAAGGTGATGAAGAGATATTCACAGTAATTAAGGTAGAAAATTGNAAAAAAAAAAAAAAAAAAAAGAGTACATATACTTCAATTTAGACTATTAGACACAATGAAATCTTACCTGACCAAGGTTTTCATCACAATGAAAACTGGAGAGGAGGGAGGACATGAGTACTCGAAAAAGAAGCCATTTATTGTACATCTGCCTCTGAGAAAAATACTTAAAGAATCATTTCCGGCCAGGCGCAGTGGCTCACACCTATAATCCCAGCACTCTGGGTAGCCGATATGGGAGGACTGCTTGAGCCCTGTAATCCTCACACCTGTAATCCCAGCTACTGGGGAGGCTGAGGCAGGACAATTGCTTGAATCCAGGGGGCGGAGGTTGCATTGAGCCGAGATCGCACCACTGCATTCCAGCCTGAGCAACAAGAACAAAACTCCACCTCAAAAAAAAAAAAAAAAAATCTGATTTCTGTAACCTCAGTGCAATTTGGAGAAGGAACTGAGGTAAACATGTGTTCAGCCCTCCATTCTTTTCCCCAGAGAAAACTTATATACAGAAGAATAATGCAGCTTTTCTTAATAAATTGTTAGCAAGCTGAAATTAGAATACTGGCTTCCGATTTATAGGCTATTGTTTCTTCCACTCCACCTGCAGTGACTAGTGCCTTTCTTTCTAGACTAAAGAGCCTTCACTAATATTAGATCTCATTAAATATTGAAGGGAAATCACTGTTTGGTTTTGACTGTCATTCATTTCCATCTGCTGTCTCTAGAGTATGTTCCTGCAGTATATGTGTGTATGCTTGTGTTGGTTCTTTTTTCTTATATTCACTTGAGATCCAGAACCATCACTGGGTAAGAGCATTTGATAGAGTCCTGTCCTTGCATGGCTACTCAGAGAGTCTTTGACTGGTAACAGAGGATGCTTGCCTCCCTCTTGAGATGTTGACACCACATGTATTTATTGAATATCTACTGGCGCATGACTATACAGAGAAAAAGTACCTTCTCTTTCTTTTAAAAATTTGCTGTACGAAACAAATTATTCTGCTATAAGCAAATTATAAATAAGTCAATATGGAATCAGTCTTAAGTAGTATTTGGTCTCCTCTCCCTTCCCCCTCCTTCATTTTACAAATGAGAACACAGGATTGGGTGTGGTGGCTGTTGCCTGTTATCCCAGCAATTTGATAGGCTGAGGCAGGTGGATCACCTGAGGTCAGGAGTTCGAAACCAGCCTGGTCAACTTGGTGAAACCCTGTCTCTACTAAAAATACAAAACAAATTAGCCAAGCGTGATGACAGGTGCCTGTAATCTCAGCTACTCGGGAGGCTGAGGCAGAATTGCTTGAACCTGGGAGGCAGAGGTTGCAGTCAGCCAAGATTGCACCACTGCATTCCAGCCTGGGAGACAAGAGTCAAACTCTGAAAAAAAAAAAAAAAAAGAAGAAGAAGAGGAAGAAGAAGAAACTATAGGACCTCAGAAAGCAGAAAAGCTCAGAAGTGGAGGCAATATATACCTATGAAAGTCCGGAGTATGCATGGTACTGAAAAGGAAGGGCTGGCTCAAAGTCTGAATAAGAAGCAGTGAAACTTCTAGATACCATCTCCTACCCAGGCAGGTAATGAAAATTTCACTTTCTGGGGAAGATGACCCAGGATAGTCAGGTATATCATGTACCGCTGACACAGGAGCACACTAGGAAGATAAATACAAGCCCTTCCCCACTCAGCTTCCATAAGACTGGCAAGAAGCTCTATACCACCAAGAAGGCAACCAGTCCCTGGAGGAAATAGATCATTCAAAGAGAAAAAACCAACAGATAGTGATATTTGGGGATATCTCAACAAAACAAGCCTGAACAATTAATTGATATTTGTTGATATTTGCGGATATCTCAACAAAACAGGCCTAAACTTTAGGCTATAGGGTAGCCTAAAGTTTAAGAAGCAATTTGACTCCAGATCCCTACTTAACTCTACCATGGCAGGTAAGTGACCCTCCCCTACCCAAGATTGGAAGTTTATCCTTCAAAAAGAGTAAAATGGAAAGTCTGCAGACAGAGAAACTCCAGGTACAGTTTGAAGATGGAATTATATACTGACACGAGGCCCCAAGCACTCTTTGTCACTCATCTCCCAGAATGCTAGCAGTCTGTCTTATCCATACAAACAGACTGGAAAATTCTTCTCTGGAGAATATAACTAGTCCACACACACACACACACACACACACACACACACACAAAAAAAAAAAAAAAAAAAAAAAAAAACCCATAAAGATACAGATATTCCCCCACAAAATGGCTCAACATAGCCCAAAGTTGACATGTCCCACCACGTGTTAAGAGTTTCCAAGCAGTTTCTTAGTGGTCATTCTTAAAAACTAGACAGGCATGGTGGTTCATGCATATAATCCCGATACTTTGGGAGGCCAAGGTGGGCAGATCAGTTGAGGTCAGGAGTTCGAGACCAGCCTGGCCAACAAGGGAAAACCCCATCTCTACTAAAAATACAAAAATTAGCTGGGCATGGTGGTGCACGCCTGTAATCTCAGCTACTTGGGAGGCTGAGGCACAGGAATGGCTTGATCCTGGGAGGCAAAGGTTGTGATGAGCTGAGATCACACCACTGCACTCTAGCCCGGGCAACAGAGTGAGATTCAGTCTCAAAAAAAATAAAATAAAAAATAAAGGATGACCAAAAATCTCCAGACCTCTAGGGATAAAAAGCAGACCAAAACAAACAGATAAAAGCAAAAAAAAAAAAAAAATAGGTTAGTCAACTTTTATAAACTAACAGGGAAGGGGAAGAAAGGGAGTTAGTGCTTAATGGGTATAGAATTTCATTTTGGGAAGATGAGAAGGTTCTGGAGATGAATGGTGGTGATGGTTGCACAACAATGCCAATGTACTTAATGCCAATGAACTGTGCACATAAAAAAGGCTAAAACAGTAAATTTTATGTTACATATATTTTACCACAATTAAAAAAGGTGGGGGTGAGTGCAGTGGCTCATGCCTGTAATCCCAGCACTTTGGGAGGCCAAGGCAGATGGATCGCTTGAGGTCAGGAGTTTGAGACCATCGGGGTCAACAGGATGAAAACCCGACTCTACTAAAAATACAAAAAAAATGGCTGGGCAAGGTGGCTCATGCCTGTAATCCCAGCACTTTGGGAGGCTGAGGTGGGCAGATCACCTGAAGTCGGAAGTTCAAGATCAGCCTGACCAACATGGAGAAACCTCATTTCTACTAAAAATACAAAATTAGCTGGGCGTGATGGCACATTCCTGTAATCCCTGCTACTCAGGAGGCTGAGGCAGGAGAATCGCTTGAACTCAGTAGGTAGAGGTTGTGGTGGGCTGAGATCGCACCATTGCACTCCAGCCTGAGCAAGAAGAGCAAAACTGTTGCCAAAAAAAAAAAAAAA